TTACAATCACTCACATGACTCAACACTTAACCAACGAGTGCGGTAGGTAGGACAAGCCAGTTGTTCTCTGATGGCCAATCCTACGTAAACGCATCCACAGCTTCTGTGCCGGGTTGGAGGAATCTGGAATTTAATCTTGGCAATTTGGTGTTATAATGACAAGCAAAAACCGAATGTGGACCCCAGAGGTCTCGAGGAAAAGAAAAATGTCATCACGAATCGGGTAATCGTCAAAGTAAACTATCTAACTTCAAAATCTACGTGGGATTCACGATCGCGCGGCACAAAAGAGATATTCAACTGAATTTGGCGACGGGAGCATAAAAGAAAGAATTTTATCATGCTACCAACTTGAACGATCCTCACGACATTTTTTTACCTGTGTTGTAGCGAACTCTCCGACCGACCAGACGACCTTCAAAGGAATCGAGGGCGAATTTTTAAGGTGATCATTTCCCTCCAGGTTAAAGATTTTACAGATTCCTGGTCATGATTTGTGTGACATTTCCACAGCTAGGGGTCAACAGCTTGTGAAACTGAGCCTCGTTTTAGCGTCAAGATTATAGCCAATCCAAGAAAATTTTCTCTCGGGCTCCCAATTGAACTTTTCTTTGTGAATTTCGAGGCTACAGTGTGAAAGATCTGCGCGAACAATGGAACTGTTAATCTTAGCAGAATTCAACGGGGAACCCGCCCCAATGCCGTCATCGAAAAATATAGCGATTGGAATTCCAATCGCAAGGCGCAAATTCTATGTATATATATTCAAATGCGCCGTAACATAATAATTACAATAAACTAAAGATAAAATAAAAATAATAATAATAATGATAATAACAATTACATACGGTTCATAATAACTAATTATTAATTAATTAATTAATAAACTAATAACTAATTATTACTTGAAATGTTCTATTTAAACTTTATCAATGAATAAATAACTATAAAAACTTTATCAATTATAAAATGCTTTCTTAAAAAGAAACGTCTTAAGCTTCGATTTAAAACTATTAATAGAACTAGATTCTCGTATATCCCTTGGTAAATTATTCCATAGCTTAGGTGCCGCAAACATAAATGCCCGGTCACCAAGTGTTGCCTTAGACTTAAAACTAGAATAACTGAGTAAGGTCTTATCCCTGGAATTCCTTAAATGATATCTTGACTCGGGCTTGCGTGTAATTAGAGAACTTAAATAAGACAGTGCAAAACCCTTAAAAATCTTGAAAACAAATACTACAATCTAAAATTCAATTCTTAACTTAATAGGTAACCAGTGCAACTCCATCAATAAAGTAATGTGACAATATTTACTTTCATTGCATATTAGTCTGGCACACATGTGTTGAACACGTTGCAATTTGTTGATTTGATATTCCGAGGCACCATACAATAAACTATTGCAATAGTCAATTCTGTTTGAGATGAAGGCATGGACCAGAGTTTTTGTGTTCTCTTTAGACAAGTATTTTCTTATCCTCCTCAGATTGTACAAGTAGTAAGAGGCAGAGTTGCATGTTCTTGTTAAGTGAGTTGCCATTGTGAGTTTTGCATCGAACCATGAGCCCAAGTTCCTCGCAAATAACACGGGCGTAATTGCTGAGTTGCCAACACGGAGACTGGAAATAGTTGCTTTAGCGAGTTGCTGGGGTGTACCAATGATCAGAAACTCAGTCTAGTTGTCGTTCAGTTTCAATTTATCATTCAATATCCAATTACGAATATCATCAATACAGCTTTTCATTCTAGCCAAAGCAACATCTTGGTTAACACTAGCATTGGGGCAGAAGGACACATAAAGTTGGCTGTCATCTGCATAACAATGAATGCCAGGCAGATGTTTGTCCACGATTTGAAAAATCTTGCTCGCATACAATACAAACAATAATGAACCGAGGCATGAGCCCTGAGGGACACCACAAGACAGTTCAAAGTTCATAGAGAGGGAACCATCAATAAGTATTTGCTGGGATCCGTTACTTAGATAAGATGCAAACTATGACAGTGCTGTACCACGAATCCCAAACCCAGATTTACTCAATGGTGTCAAATGCTGCACTCAAGTCTAACAAAACAAGCAGTGTGACATGCTGTTTATTCATATTGAATAGAATTTCATTTTTCACTTTCAAGAGTGCGGTTTCAGTACCGTGAAACTTTCTGCACGAAGACTGTAACACTGGAAACAAATCATTCGCTACCATGTGATGATGTAGTTGTTTAGCAACTGCACTTTCAGCAAGTTTACACACAAACTGTAAATTACTGACAGGCCTATAATTTTTAAATATAGGTTCCAAACCATCTTTCTTGAGCAAAGGCAGAACCAAAGCATTTTTCCATGCAGAGGGAAAGTCACCGTTTTCTAGGGAGTAATTGATCATCTTAGTGATGATTGAATGGAGAACATCAAAACAGTCTAACAATAGCTTCGTGGGAATTGGATCTAAGCCACAAGACTTCTCACTGGATGCTCGAACCAGGTCGTGCACTTCTTCTTGAGACAGAGAACTAAACTTGAAGAGTAGAGAATCAATTTCGATGTCACCAGAATCGCGGTCTGTGGAGGTTTGTTGTTCATCATGATTATCAAGGTCTAAACGAATATCGGCGAATTCTTAATGAAAAACATACCCATCTCGTTAGCTAATTTCTGTTTGTCTTCATGCGGTGGCAAAACTGGGGTACCTGTGATGTTCAAGAGTTTCTTGCTTACTTTAAACAGATGTTTTTGATCGTGGCTATTTTCTGCTATGAGAATAATATAATAGACCCGCCTAGCCTCATTCATAAGAAAAGTCACATGGTTCCTTTTTCTCTTAAACACAGTTAGATCAGACTGACATTTGGAAGATCTCCATTTTATCTCTGCTTTTCGACGTTGACGCTTAGCTTCTATGATATTACTGCTCATCCAAGGAGCGCTTGGACGAGCGAGCACTCTTTTTGATGTCATCGATGCATGACGATCCAAAATGGAGCGCATATAGTTGTTATACAGCTCTGCAACTTCATTACAATCATTTGAAGCGATGTTGCACAAATCACTACTAGCAATATCGTTTTTAAAAGCAACTAAATCCAGGGACTTGAGCTTCCTGAAACTGATATGTTTAACAGTAGCCAGTACTTTCGTAACATTAAGACAGCACCAAACGGAGCAGTGATCGGAAAGAAAGCTATCCGGGGAAGGTGTACCTTTAATGATATTGTCAGAGCTGCGAGTAATTATCAGATCCAAAATATGTCCCATTACGTGCGTAAGTGATTTTACGTGTTGAGTAAGACACAACGATTCCAATAGATCCGCAAACGCAATGGTATCCGCATCATCACTGACATCAAGATGAACATTGAAGTCACCATATATGCAAATTGGCACTTTAGATAGTACCAATGATTCCAGGTATTCACTAAATTCAGGAAAAAAAGTACTTGAAGTAACGGGGTGAGCAGCAGAATACGGTGGTCTGTACACAACCACAAGTCTAAGCTGTAAAGATAAACCATCAATCATATATCCAGAAAACTAAGTAAGTAAGTAAATAAGTTTATTAAATCTCCACCCAGTGGCTCTTCCAATTTAATTTACAATAATTGGAAATCGAATAAAAGTACCTATAAAAGTTACAATAATATCATGATAAAGAAACAAATACAAATAAATAACTAACATATTCTTAAAACTCTATACCTAAAAAAGATTCCTACGGACTGTCATATATTTCGCGCTTTACTGCACGCTTGAAAACTGAGAGTGTTGCGCTATTTTTCGTTTCTTCACTTATAAGAGAATTCCAGGCAGTGACTGCTCTATAACTAAAAGACCTCTGTGCTGTGACTGTCCTACAAAAGGGTACAACTAAGTTGTCTCTAGATCTAGTATTGTAGCTGTGGATAGCTGATCTTTTGTTGACGTAACACTCCTATGGTGGTGCAAGGCCATTGACTATTTTTTATAGCATCGTAACATCACGCACTAATAACTGGTTCTTAATAGAAGGCCAACACAGTGCCCGCAGCACTGGTGAGATGCGATCAAACTTCTTGCTGTTTGTCAACACACGGGCAGCAAAGTTTTGTACAAGTTGCAATTTGTTTATGTTGTGCGCAAACGTTCCAGACCAAAATGTCGAGCAATAAAACAGTTTACAAAAAACTAGACAATTCAGAATGGTGGTAAGTACTGATTTGGAAAACAAGTGCCTCGCTCTGCTTATCTGGCATAGGGCAGAAATAAGAGACGAGGTCAGGGTGTTAACGTGTTCATTAAAAGTAAGGTTCGAGTCCAATATTATACCCAGGTCTTTGACTGAGGACACAGGAATTAATTGTTGTCCACAAAAGGGGACTCTGATATCAGGCACCCCACTTAAAAGCTGTTTCGTTCCAAAAAGAATAAGTTTAGTTTTGTCTGGATTAATAAGCAACTTATTCGTACAGCACCAGGAGGCAATAAGTCGGAGATCTTCCGAGACTTTTGCAAGGCAGGAGTCAATATTATTCAATGAACACGAAAGATAAACCTTTGTGTCATCAACATATGACTCTACGCTTGAAAACTTAACAACGGACGGTAGGTCGTTCATGTAAAGGTTGAACATAAGAGGCCCCAGAATGGACCCCTGTGGTACGCTATGTGTGACAGTTAACTCACTAGAGCGAGATGTACCGAGTCGTGTTGACTGCCTTCGGTTTGTAAGATAGCTCTCAAACCACTTTGACGCTTCATTTGACGCACCGAGCCCTTACAGCTTGGTGAGGAGAGTTCTATGACATATGCTGTCAAAAGCCTTGCTCAAGTCGATTAGGACCATAGCCGTGATCTCCTTTTTATCCATCGCTTTATATATATGACCGGTGACAAGCAAACTCAGTGTTTCAGTAGAATGGTGTTTACGGTTTCCGCTTTAATGACAGGTGAGGTTGCCTTGTTGAGTCAAATAATCAGTGAACTGATTCAGGGCGATCTTTTCGGTCACTTTAGAAAGTACAAGCTATAATGAAATAGGGCGATTGTTACTAGGAATCTCGTGATCACCATCTTTAAGATGTGGCACTACTTCCGACTTCTTCCTGGCCTTAGGGAAAACAGAGTTTCTAAAAGAAGAGTTTATCAATGCAGTTAGAGTTGGTAATATATACGGTAAACAGTCCTTCATCACAAACACTGGAATTCTGTCATAGCATGAAGCTTTATAAGAAGGCATAGCCATAATCACTTTTCGCACGTCTTCACTGGTTATTGCTTTGAAGTCAAACAGTTCATCACAATGAGTTGAACCGAGATAAACAGGAGTAGTTGGTAGGCCCTGAAGGCGAGCGAGCTCTGCAGAATCATCGGCGGCCTTCTGTCCCACAGATACAAAGAGGCGATTGAATTCATTAGCGAGTGCATCTGTGTCCTTGGTAAAGCTTAGGCGGCCTGATTTATTTGGGAGGGCACTGCGAATTGTTTTCCACATTACCCCACTGTTGTTCTTATTTTCACAGATTTGATGATTGTAGTGCTCTCGTTCCGACTTCCGTAAAACAAATTTAACTCTATTTCGCAGCTCCTTAAAAACCTCCCAATCTTCCCTCGTCCCAGTCCTTCTCGCTCTTTTGTGAAGGTGGTCTCTCGCCCTCATCAAATCCCTTATGTCCTCCGTGATGAATGGGTTTGGTTTATGTCGTATTTTCACTGTTTTAACCGGAGCATGGTCGTCCAGACACGCCAACAGCAAGTCATTAAATGCATCGAGTCTGATATCAACGGATTCGTCTATCAGGTTCATAGTATCCCATGGGATGTGAGCGATGTCATTTGCAAACTGATCGCCTTTATAATTCCGAAAACTACGTGTGACGATGAAGGTTATGGCTTGCTTGGGTGATCTTAAGTTAATAACAGCATGAACCAGAAAATGATCACTTATAGTTATTTCAAGAACACCGCTCGACTTGACAAGGACAGGGGCAGAGACCAAGATGACATCCAATAAGGAGCGTGAGTTCTCAGTCACGCGAGTTGGCTTGTCTATAAGCTGTGTCGCATTTACAGTTGCACAAAACGACAGCAATGCTTCTCCCCTCGGATTGTTTGAAAGAAGGTCACAGTTTAAGTCGCCTGTTAGCACAATGTCCTCGTTGCATGATAATGCTTCGATGTACTTTGGGAGCAGTTCATTCTCTGCATGCAGTTCCAATTTCCGGGGGTCTGTAAACAATACAAACCAGCAATGAACGAAGCTTCTTATTTTGAACTTGAATCCACAACTGGTGTAGGCCGGATTCTGATATTTCCGTGAGATCCTTCAGGACTTTTACCTTCAGAGTAGATTTTACGTAAGCACATACACCGGCACCTGCTTTTCCAAGGCGATCAAGTCTAAAGACCTTGTATCCCGGGATTTTGACAACACTGTGGGTCACGGAAGAGTTAAACCAGGTCTCCGAGATGGTTAAAATATCAAAATCACGTTCCAAGGCAAACTCCTTCGTTTCAGTGAAGTGTTGTCTACATTTGAGGAGCTCTGCGTTAAGATGAGCTATTTCCAAGAGCTTGTTTTGGTTGATAGTGCATTCTTTGTCAATTGTATTCTATTACAATTTGCGCTCACGTGTCCAACTGAGTCAGGGATGCGATGAGTCTGTCGAATCCCATGAATAACAGCAATCCTACTGCTAGTGGTATCTGGACCAGGTAATGGATGGATGTCGCCACTTAGTGAAATACACAGTTCCAT